TCGGGCCGGGGTGGCTTTTTGGGCTCTGGGCGCCGCGAACGTGCCCGTCCCGCCGTGACTCGGGTCCACAGCGCTTTTTTAATTTTTTTATTATTTTTATTTTTAATTTAGCAGCTCGGATTGCGAGTATAATCGTGGCAGGCCTGTGGCTTTCCTCGGGTTGCTTGAGTCGAAGGCTGTGTCCTCTGGCCTGATTTCCATCCCTTCGCTGAGGCAGAGCTGTTCCTTGGGATGCTGCGAGGCTCCCCACGGCAAGAGGTGGCAATCGCTGCTGCCAGATTAAAAAACCCACGGTTTATTTCCTGGTGGACCGCACGAGGATGTGTCAGAGACACGGTGCATCGGGTCTCGTCGAGGAGGATTGTATAGAATACTTACTCTGGAATAAGTAATTAGCGAGCAATTACGGCTAATGAGGCAAAACCCAGGGTGTAGTTTTGGTGGCCTTTGGAGCAGATGTGCTGGAGCGGCGCAGGCAGATGTTTGGCTTGGAGTGCCTTGCAGGGTTAATGGTGTGTGGGGGCTCTGCTGTGGCCATGGTCTTGCTCCTTGGAGAAAGATCAGTGCTGGGTGGGAGGGATTTTGGAGCAAGAACCTCGCTTAGAAGTTGGAAAAATGAATATTGACAGCAGTGTTCAGGGCCTGACTTAGCCCTGTAGAGAGATCTTTCTGTTCTGCAACAGGAGCAGGGGGAAATTTATTGGGTTTTGGAGTAATTACACTCGTGTCCGAGCAAGTTCTCCAAATAAATCCAGTTCTTGGGCAGGATCAAAGCTGATAGCAGCTGGAACCAGCACAGAGCTCTTGCTGTTCCGTTGAGCCTTGGCCTAAAATTGTAGTGGCTTTAAAACAGCCCGAAAGGTTCTGGACTTTAGCAAGTGGCTGCTGAGCTCTGGGTTAAAAAGCAGCAGCTCTGGTACATAATTCCTGCATTCTGTCTGCGATAAATATAATTTTAGGCCTGAAAGCGTTTTCACTTGGCCACTGGGGTTATGAAAAGAGTGAAGTGGTGGCAAAACCAAGAGCTTTTGGCTTCACAGTGCAAGAGTTTGGTATTTCAGGTATCTTTGCCCAGATATGCCAGTGGTAGGGAGAGATTCTCTTGGCCCAAGCTGATCTTTTTAACTAGTCATATGGTCCCAGCAAGAAAACTGGTGAATGTAGAACCCTGATATTCCTGCTCAGGGTTGCTAATGATGTGTCAAATGGAACTTATTGCTTATTTTCTTACTTTTTTTTTTTTTCTCCTTGTCTCATTAATTTTATTCTTAGAATTCTGTGTTATAAACAGGCCCCTAGAGTGGGCTTAGGCTGGCTTTTCTAAAAGGAGCAGCTGGCTGCAGTTCTGCAATGAGAAGTGTAGAAAAGGTGGGGGTTTTTTCCAAAAATATTTTAGGAATAAGCTTATACTCAGTCCTTATTTTTATAGCTGCACATTTTGAGCAGATAATTAATGAATGAAGACTTCTGCCTTTACAGTGCCATGGCTTTGCTTGGAGGCTGGTGTTGCTGCACAAGTGGAAGTTGAATTTTTTGATGACTTTGTGCAGAGTGGGATTGTTTCTCACCATACCTGGCAGCTGGAAAATAACCTGTTTGTTCTTTACACCTGTAGGCAGGGAGTTAAATCTCCAACCATGTGGTATTAGGGGAAGGAAGAGAAAACTTGAAGGCCAAGCGAGGTGTTCAGCAAGGCATGGCAGGAGGACCAGGTGGTGCAGATCATGGTGAGTTCAGGGAGTGAAGAAGGGAAGGCTGACATGAATTGGAGAGCCCAGGGATTTTGGCATTTACCTGGGATACGGGAAGAGGAGGCCTGAATTCCTCCTGCAGTAAATATTTCTGTGTGAGGGGTTCAGTGGTGGTTGCTCCAAAATCCTCAGTAGCTGGTGATTGATTACCTGGGCTTTGGGAGGTGGAAATCAAAGGGATGATGGTGAATCCAGGTGAGGTGCCTGATCTCCAGCCTGTCTCTGTGACCTGCCCTTTCCTTCCACCCATCTTTGAGGGAGGGTCCGTGTCTTGGTGGCCCAGGTGGACAAAGATTTGTGGTCTTTGCATTTCGGTCGTGGCTGATTCTCCCAGGCCTTGGAGGAACACCTGAGTGCCAAAGCCAGGCTGGGTCAGGTGCTGGAGTGCCAGAATTCCCTCTGAGGACCTCTTTTCCTCGTTTGGGCTGTGTCAGATCCTTTTAAAACTGATGCTGGTGCAGGTACAGTACAGGACATTGTGCTTGGGACTCTCAGTTCCTGAGGAGTTGGTTAAGAATTCCTCTTGTGTGGGTAATGTAGGATTTCAGCAAAGGGAAGTAGCACCTCCTCAGAATCAGTGCACAGTCTGAGAATAGTCCTGTGTGTCCTTAAAATCCACATTGACATTACTTTGCATGTAGTCAGATGTTCTCCGTGAACAGTCCTTTTTAATGCACCTCTTGGAAAAAAAATACTTTGAATTTAGGAGAAGAAAGGTTTTGAAGGCGGAGACATTAAATAAGCTTTTCAATACTTTATTTCAGCTGTTTGTTCCGGGTTTGTTTGGGTTTGCAGTTGCTTTCTGTAATACTGGCTGCCTTTTTGTGCAGATGGGAGAGAAGGAAAGTTGGGATTAGCGGCTTTCTTCTGCCATGGTGACATTTCTTGATGCTGCAGCCACCGGTCTGTTTTCTGAGGCACTGTAATGTTTGGTATTTCTGAAATTGTGCAGCTTGGTTCATGTCCACTTCAGGAAACGGTGCCTGGATTGCTTGTGTCTTCAGAGCTTTACTGTGTTTAGCAAGTGGCTCAACTATTTGAGGCTGGAAAAAAGCGGTGGAGCTGCTTCTGGCTTTGGTTAAACTGTCTCGTGTTTCCAGGCCTTCTGTCAGGGGTGAAAATGGCCAACTAGGCTGAGCTCAGGGCTTGACTGAAGCATGTGCAGCTCGTGACCTACATAGTGGTACAAACTGCAGCAATATTCAGTAAAGATGAGACGTTGGGTGCAGTTTACACGTCTCACACGTCGTTTGTCTCGTGCAACGAAAGGCAGAGAACGCTCAGATTGTGAGAGGGAGCTTCTGACAATCTCCCCCTGCTTTCTGCTGCTTGCAGTCCTAAAGCTCTTTGCATTTTTAATGAAATTTTAAATTATGGGACTTGACTCAAAATGGCTCAGCTTCCAGGGGAAAAAAAATGAATTAGTGGCATGAGGTACATACCATGTTTAAAAATAGAGCCTGGCTTGGAAATGCCATTCGTTTGAGGGACTTGGTTTCATTTTAAAATTGAAGTTTGTCAGAGGTTTTGTAACAAGTTTTTCGTGAGGGTTTAGAAGAAACTAGAAGAGACCAACTGGCAGCATCTTTTATTGGTGGAAAAGTATTTCTTTGTTCTGGAGTAAACCACGTTACTTAGCAGTGTTTGGAGCTCGTTTTGCTTCTGGAGCCCGGGATGATCTTGGGTTTTGGACAGGAAGATGAGTGCTGGGAATTCATGTAAGAAGTCAGTTTGCACAGACAGCAGTACAATGGTCCTGCTGGCTGGGGACTCCTCGGAGTTCCAGTTCCCTGCTCGCTGTAGGATCTGTTTGATCCCAGGAAAACGGCTCTTTCTGCTCTTAGCAAGGGAGGGATGTCTGGAATTGTCCAGGTGGTGATTGCTGGAGGTGTGTTCGTGCGTTTTTTCTCTTCTGGGGTTGCACGTGAGCTGGATCATTTACTGTTGCTCACAACCCAAAGAAGCCCCAAACCCTTTGCCATGCTGCTGTAGAACATGTGGCTGGTGGTGTTTGACAGCTGAATTTTTTCCCACAACCCCCCCATTTCAGCAGGTGCTCCGTTGTGCAATCCCATTCAGAGTCACCCAACCCCTTCCTGCCCTGCTTTTTGGCTGCTGCTGCTCAGAAAGGGGCTTAAAAGAAGCTTCACAAATTACAGCTCATCTCTTTGCCCTTGTTTAAGTGCAGGCTTCCCCATGTGCTGCTTCTTCTTGGATCATCAGGAATTTTTAATCCGTGTGGATGCTGTTTGCACAGGGCTGAACTCCAGGTTAAGAATTCCCTGACAGAAGGTGCTCCTTGGTTTCATGCTGAGGTGGTGGCTGTGTGTTCTCAAGGTGGGGAGAGGAACAAGTGCAGCTCATGTGGACACTGCAGAACACTTGTGACCCTCTGGAAAAACCCCAGCTGAAGTGACTGATTGTTGAAATCTGGGTGGAAGCTCAGTTAAGTGTTTGAAACCTTCAGAACATCCAAAGCTTTGCCATTAAACAGGAAGAAGGTGGTGCTGAACAAAGTGCAAGCTTTGCTAGGACTGGTATTGGTTTTGAGTGTTTCCTTTCCAAGGAGAAATCCGAGTTCCTCCTCATGGCACTGAGCCTGGTGGGCTGTTGGCACTTGGGAAGTTCCCTTTGTGGGTCTAACCAGTGGCTCTGGTGGGGACTCCTGAAAATCCCTCCCCTTTACTCTGCGGGTGGTTGGTTGGCCACGTGTCAACTGGAGTCTTGAAGGGTGGTGAGTTTTGGAAATGCATCTTTCTAGGAATCTCTGCCAGTCAGGGAGGCCTTTCCATCCAGGGGATAATTCCACCTGACTTGCAGTGCCTCAGTGAGGGAGAGGATACAGCCTTGAGTGTGGGGCTTATGCAACACTGCAACTGGCTCTTACTGCTCAGTTTGATACGTGCACAAAGATTAGCTGGCCCTTGGTGCCTGCTAGGCTGGGATCAGCAGGTTTCTTTGGGGCAAAACTGTGGTTTTCCAGTGGCCATCCAGTGCTGCACTCCTGTAGGACCTTGGTTTTACAACCAGCATAGTCTGAAGCACAGTGACTGCTGTAGAGACAGTGAGTATTTGTTAAATGTCTTAAAACACTGTCTAGAGGACAGAATTGTCTTATTTTGGAATTTCCACTGTATTTTCCTCCTTGTAGGTTGTTTTGTACACCTCAATCCTCTTTGTTGTGCAAGCAGTTGATACAATTTGCTCAGTAATAATATTGCTGCAAGAATGTGTTTCTTTAATACATTGTGTTAAACCCCCCCTCGTGCTAAAAAGCATAAAGCCAAAACTAAACTTCAGGATGTAACAACTGCAAAGTTCAAATATTATATGTAAAGTTTCTATCTACCAAGTTTTTTCTGCTGGTTGTGAATCTCTGAGCAGTTCCTTGAATGAAATTATATTTTTAATGGATTAATGTTGTTGCCACATTAATTCTGCATAAGCTGACAAATTATACCCCTGGTACCTTAGCCTAGGGACTTCCCCTGCAACGGGTTTAAACATGAAAATGGTCCTTGTGTAATGATTTAAAGGACAATAGTTGTGTTCTGACAAAGTGGGAGAAAAGGGAGGGAATAGGCAGATGAGCTGTCAAATCCCTTTATTACATTAGAGCCCAAAGCTGGTGTCATTACTCATAACTAACTCCCTTTTAAAGCCCCCCTCCTTTCTGGTTTAAGTCATCTGCAACTTGGAGCTGCATGCAATGTGTATTTATTTACTGTGCCCAGGGTAGGGGGGATATTCAAGGTTAATTATTGCATGGCTTTCTTGGGGGGAAGATGGGATGTAGCCTGGAGTGATTGCTGGACATGCCCAGTGCCTCATCCTAATCCCTGAGGTAGATGTGGGCTCCTTTGACTTGTTTTTGGGATTAGAGCTGTGCGCATCCCATGAGTTACTGGGAGGCTGATTTCTGGGCTGGAAAGAAGGGAATTTATTGGAAAACGAATTCCTGTCGAGCAGGATCTTTCCTGAAACACGGCTGCTTTGTGGGTGGTTGCCTGTGCTTTGGGTTCTGCTGGTTTTTGAGCGTGTCTTAGGCCCAGGTTGATATTTCAGATGTAAACAAACCCTCGTTCCAGTTTCTAATTGGAGCCAGCATCCTCTTTGCTCCTGTCGTCATCTGCCTCGGTCGCTGTCTCGCCTGCGAGGCCCTGAAAGAAGACAAAATACAGCAGCAGTTCTGGAGAATGGAAGTAAATAATCTTGCAATTAGGCCCTGTATCATGCTGCATAAATCTGGGTTATCTTAATAACGATTTTTAGGCAACAGGGCTCAAGTAGTGGCTCGGTGATTCAAATGGTAATTGACTGTGCAGCTAAAAAATTAAACTCAACTGCTCTGTGTTTGGGATGATGACTATTGCAAAAGCTGGCATTGTTCCCTTTAAAGATGAACTCCCAGCTTCGCAGCCCCAGCGTGCAGCAGTGCAGAAAAACTGCTTAATATCCAGTTTTTGGTAGTGAAGTGCTTAAGAAACGTCTTTATAAACTTAATTCTGCCTTTGTGGAGCGGTAGTAGAATAGCTTTTAATTGCATGATTAATTTTCTTAGAGGCCTCTGCTTAATTCATTGCATTGCCTGGGTGTATATCAGGCTAGAATTGAAGTAGTTGTGTATTTTCTGCTCTTTAATTTCTTGTGTGGGTGAGTCACAGAAGTAATGTCCTTTTTTTATACTAACATTTAAAGGAGGGAAACACTAGATCTCATCAGAATGAAATTATCTACTTGGGGCTTACTGGTTGAGGAACAGTTTATTAGGATGGCCTTGTGTCTTGTTTTGCCACTTGCCATTATCTTCTCTTGGACTCAAAAGAAGGCTTGATAAATCCATCAAAATCCTAGTTTTTGTAGCTTCTGTTTTAGAAAGCTTTCTAAACGTGTGCCACATTTGTCCTCTTTGAAATTCCCTTGTCTCTGAAAGTTTTGGATGTTCTTTCAGGCTTGCAAAAAGTTGAGTCTGAGCC